TTTTTTTTTTTTTTTTTTTTTTTTTTTTTTTTTTTTTTTTTTTTTTTTTTTTTTTTGGCGCAGATGGATAAATTTGAGAAGGAAATCAGAGAGTCTAAGTTTTCAGAGCTAATGAACAAACATTTTGCAGCTAGTTCCATTCCTAAAGGCATTCATTGTTTATCTCTGCGTTTAACTGATGAATACTCATCAAATGTTCATGCTCGCAACCAACTTCCTCCTCCAGAGCTACTTCCGTTGCTCTCTGATAACACGTACCAACACTTCGTTCTGTCAACTGATAACATTTTGGCAGCTTCAGTTGTTGTCAGCTCTGCTGTGCAGTCATCACTCAATCCTGAAAAGATAGTTTTCCATGTCATCACCGACAAGAAAACTTATGCAGGGATGCACTCCTGGTTTGCTTTACACCCAGTCTACCCGGCTACTATTGAAGTGAAGGGTACTCACCACTTTGACTACTTAACGAGGGAAAACGTTCCAGTGCTTGAAGCTGTGGAGAACCAGGAAGGAATCAGAAATTACTACCATGGCAACCATGTTTCAGGGACCAACCACACTGATACAACTCCTCGAATATTTGCCTCAAAATTGCTAGTTCGAAGTCCCAAATACATATCCTTACTTAACCATCTCCGCATGTACATACCTCAGGTAATTTGGATGCATTTATGAAATATACAACTCAAGGAAACAAGTTATAAATGCTATCATTTCCTCCCCCCACCCATTTTGGTCTTGAGCTGACAAACTAATTTTATACATGAAATGAAATTGTAAGTGAAAACTTTCATGTTTCTGATTATCATGAACCTCGAGCTGGATTGTAACATTAGTGGTTTTTGTAGGTTCCATTTTACTAGATCAAGTCTACTTGGAAAGAAACATGGTTTTATATGAATACCTAGCAAGTAGTTATTCTATTCTTGATTTTTTTGGATTTATGCATGAACTTATACAATTTGGTAATCTTCTCTGCTCCTAAATTGTTCCTCTCTCCTTGTTACTGCACATCAGATTGAGAATTATTATTCTTCATAATTGTTTCTTCAAGGCTTTGTTGTACAAATCTCTGTTTTCCTGTATAAGTATTCTGAATACGTGCATTGAACAGCTCTTCCCCAAACTGGACAAGGTGGTCTTTTTAGATGATGATGTTGTAATTCAACGTGATCTGTCTCGACTTTGGGATGTTGACCTCGAGGGAAAGGTTAATGGAGCTGTTGAAACTTGTAAAGGTGATGATGAGTGGGTCATGTCAAAGCGATTCAAGATCTACTTCAATTTTTCCCATCCCTTGGTAGCAACGCATTTAGATCCTAATGAATGCCCTTGGGCATATGGCATGAACATATTTGATCTTCGTGCCTGGAGAAAGTCGAATATAACAGAAACGTACCACTGGTGGCTGAGAGAGGTATGGTACAAATCCATTTTTCATTCTATTTGCTGATTGCATGATTGTCCCTTGTCACTCGAGATGCGATTATGCAATGTTCTTGGATCATTGACTTCTTTTTTGTGGCAGAATCTAAAGTCAAACCTGACACTGTGGAGGCTGGGTACACTACCACCGGCTTTGATTGCATTTAGAGGTCACATTCATCCAATTGAGCCCTCATGGCACATGCTTGGCTTGGGCTATCAGAACAAAACAAACATTGAGAATGTGAAGAAAGCTGCAGTTATTCACTATAATGGCCAGTCTAAACCATGGCTGCAGATTGGCTTTGAACATCTCCGGCCATTTTGGACCAAGTATGTCAACTATTCCAACGACTTCATCAGGAACTGCCACATTCTAGAGTCATAACTCACGAAGGGTAGAGAGACGATGCCAAAACGAACATACCTATGTTAGTTTGGAACGTTACCACTCGGCTTAAGAAATTTGGAGTTTTACATACATGATGATGGAAGTAGACAATGAGGTGCACGTGCATTAACGTGTAACGTAGCAATTCATTTGGTCTTAGTTCCTGAGGAGTCTGGTATTATTAGTTCTTCATGCAGGGATATCTCCACAGTTCTCAAGAGTATATTTTGGAAAATATAGCAGAATACACATTTACTCATTGTCGACGTAGCTGTTATCTATCGAGGCGCAAACGAGGCTAGAACAGGTTACTCGGTGAGTGCTTCTCCATATGCTTGGTCACAAACAATAATGGTCTGCCCATCATCTTTTATTTTTCATAGTATTACTACATTTTCTGCTCTGTATTGATAACATATGATGACTTGTTGAGGACAAGGTCTGGGAGATTGATCGGCTATTGGTTCATTGGATTGAAGAACTCTTCTTCTTCTTCTTAGATGATAAATGCTATATTAAGATTCGTTCTGTACGAGAATACATTTTAAAATGTGAAGAAAATTCTTTCCATTCAGTTATCATAATTTGGATACTCTTAATTGGGTGAGTTAATACTTTTGTTCTGTAAAGCTTTAAACAGAGTTATTCGAATCTCCATTAGTTGGTTTTAGATGCCTCAGACAGCACACTTCAAGATAAGGTTAAACCATTCACATTAAGATGCTTATCATACAACTTCCTAAGTTGGTGATGACAAGAAACCCACCAACCCTTTATGCCACTCAAAACCATCACCTTTTTCTTTCCTCCCTCCCTTTTCCTTTCCATTCCAAATTGTTCAAATATCAAGTGTGCTAATCATTTTAAATCATTCATCCTTATCAACGAGTTGATACACATGGTTATTTAGACGTGTGAAATTTCTTAGGTACAGTGATTACTAGGAATTTATTGATGATGAAGATCAAGAATTGCAACGCTCTATTTTCATCACGATGAATGTAAACACACATTCGCTCTTCATGCTTTCTCACCCAAGCAACGTCAGTAGGAACTCAGTAGATCTCTAGATTCCATCTCTATCCACAAAGTGAATCTTGATGAATTTGAGTGAGTAAATTAAAGAATGAATTTGAGTGGGTATGGATTAATGGCATTTAAGAAGGCATTGATTGATCCTTCCAAGGCATAGCGGAGGAATCTAAAAGGCTCCTAAACTAATCGTCAAAGCAACTTGTCATCTCCAAGATGTATCAAATAATTAACAATATGCAAAGCATCCATCCTTGTTAATGTTAATGTTAATGTTAATGTTAATGTCAAATATCTGTATGCCACGTGTATATTCTATCATTCAGAGAGAAAAAAAAAAAAAAAGTTCTTGGAACAGTGAATAAAATTAGAATATCTGGTTCACATCCACTTTTTTCATCTCTGAAATTCCTCTCTCCTTCTGGCATCATCCATCACTGAGTGTGATTCTTTTATTACCGACACGATGAATGATTTGGGTTCGTGATTGTGAGTTTATAACATTTATTTAGGAGCAAAGTCAAAATCTTGCATTGTTTGAGGTAATGGGTCATGCATATTTTTCTAACCATTCTGGCCTTTTCTACTTCCTCGAAGCTGTTTCAAATACGCGTAAATAATACGATTTTAATTTTGGGAATACCAAGAAATCACTTTTAAGAATGGAGTCATTGACCCCAGATTTATATGACTTTCAAAACTCTGGAGGAGCCCTCGTCTCTGAGTTCTTCTTTCATCTCTTCAGCTGGATTTTGTGTGATTATTCCAACACCATCGCGTTTTTCTTCACTTCCAATCAATTTCTCACCCAACTTCGTACCGGTTAAGGTTAATCGATTTCTATCGCTCTTTTTCTGTTCGTTTTCTTTTGGGTTTCTGTTGATTTTTCTATTGCCTTCTCGGTTACTTATTCCAGGATCGATTTCGTTTTGCGATTTTCAAATCAGTGTTTGAATCACACAACCTTAGCCGTCTCAATTCTTTCTCTTCTAGTTTCACAGTGTTCGTAATTCTTTTCTTCCTGCTTCTTGCGAATATAATCAATTCTTTGAGTGAATTTATCTGTGCGATTACATCTAGTCTTTTGGAATACGCAACTGATTGATTGCTTTTGTCGCTAATTTTCTTTTCCCGAAATAAAATTGAAATCCAAAGCGGATTTCGTTTTCATATGCAGTTGGCTTTATGCTTCCGATTGCCGCATCTTCTTTTTTGATTTACAACGTACAATGAAATTAACTTCCGTTTTCTGGGTTTCTCGATTTTTGCAGAATGGCCCTCATCATAATCTGAGCAAAAAAATCTCTGCTAATTAACCGCATTCGATTACTCGTGTGGGATTTTGCTTCCTTCCTTAGGAAATCCAATTTGTCTGTGATTGATTGAAGACGTTTCGATATGGCTGGAGTGGGAGATCAATTAGAGATCAAGTTTCGATTGAACGATGGATCGGATATTGGCCCCAAAACCTTCCCTGCTGCTACAAGCATCGCAACCTTGAAAGAAAGCGTTCTTGCACAATGGCCAAGAGGTGTGTTAAATTTAAACATCTTTCTCTTAGTCCTAGTTTTTTTTTTTTGGCTTTTGGGGGTGTTTGATTTTATTTGAATTCCCATGCTTCATGATTTTGTTGCTTTGTTCGTAATTGAAGTATTAAGTTCAAACATTATCAGCATATTGGCATCTGTTAATCTTAAGAACAAACATAACACAAGCGAAGCTCAGATCTGATGTAGACTCTGCACTTTTTTCATTCTTGCTGTTGCCATTTGTGAAGAGAAACTTAACACCCCGTTAATGGAAGTTCAGTGGTGCATAAAAACTCATCACATTCTTCATATGCTGGATCTTTATAATCATTTTGAAGTTATTTATTAGATTCTATGGCTTTTTGAATGAATTTATATATTAAAGAATGTCTGATTCTTTGTCTGGTTTGGTCTGATCATGTTCTTAACTGAAGAATGCCCTTTGTTTTTCATTTACCTTGGATCTACTGGTTTCTTTCCTTCTTCATCTTATCTAATATATTTCTGGCATCATTCATTCCCAAATTACGTGTTATGGAAATTTTTGGGTGTGAACTAGATTAGGGAAGCCTTTCTTGCCCTTCTGGCATCAATGCCTTCATGTCTTTGTCCTATCCGTTGTAAGTAGATCGAGATGTCCTTCCGCCCCTTGTCGCCGAATAAGGGTCATATGTTCTCATAAAAGGTTGCTCCAATCTGACCTAGCTAGCGAGCAATCCCAGTTCGCCGCAGAGAACAAGACAGGAAGCGAGCGTACCTTTGTTCACTTCTCCATCAAACATGGAAGTTTAAGGATAACTTTGTCTATGCATCTTGAACCCCGATTGATTAGGTGTCTTGTGCTATGGCTTGAATTTTTCATTGACGTATATACCACAACTCTTTCGTTTGCACTTAGTTTTTAGTTGAAATCAAGTTTGAGTTCAATTAATAACCGTAAAGAACACAGTTTCTTGCATCTCTTCTTTGATTTTCATTGTTATTTCCTGAGGAAGTGAATCTTGTAATATCATTATCCAGAAGCATATATCTGTCGGATTTTGACTCATCCGCCTTGTCTTGCCAAAATACTGTCACCGGATCCTAGATTAATGATAATTTTGATATTAAGCAATGGCAAGCACAGGATGATATTTCTGTTGCATTTAACACTGGCTAGATCTTAAAATGTTTTTTTCTTCTTTGTTACCATCCTATTGTGGATGTAAGTTTCTTCTGATAAGCACTACAAGTAATTGTGATTATTTGTTTGAGCAGAAAAGGAGAATGGTCCAAGAACAGTAAAGGATGTGAAGATAATAAGTGCTGGAAGAATCTTAGAGAACAACAGAACACTTAATGATTGCAGAAGCCCATTATATGACATTCCTGGCAGTGTTACAACCATGCATGTTGTTATCCAACCACCAAGCTTGGAGAAAGGTATTATCTGTCCTTTAAAAAGTTCAATATCATTAGGAAGTTCGAATGTAACATCGCATTAGGCTAAGAAGAGTATATGAACATCTTGCGGCTGTTCTTTGATATTGAGCCAATTGAAACTTTAGGGTTGAATGGGATTGTTGATGAAAGTTGTGTTGTTTGCTTTAGCAGAAAAGAAAGCTGGAGACCAATCACCACAAAACAAGTGTGTTTGTGCCATACTATAAACGGAACTTGTGGAAGTTCTCGACGACGCCGCCGCCATTTTTGAGTGCATAAAAATAGCAAATTTTCCTTTTAAAAGTTCTGATGCCAATAACAGCTTGGAATCAGTTGAAGAAGCTTATTCTGGAGCTTTTATTATTGTTTCCACAGTAGTAAAAGAAAAAAGAAACAGACAGAGGTAGCGAAGAACGCGAAGAAGATGGATAATTTATCGACACAAGCCAGTAGTGTTGTAGATCAACCCATGGCAGTTGAATATCTAGATGATGATCTATTATGAAGGATTGTTAGCCTTTTCAACATCCATTGTTAGCTTCATTTGTTGTTTAGATTGATTTTCTGCTATCTCAAATGTTTGTGGAGAAAGCTTTATATACTTGAAGTTGCAGTTACCCCCAACTTCATGACACTTTACTCCTTCCTTCCCAAACAAAATGATAATATTTCTTTCATTTTCTTTCTAATATGCTTTTATTACATTTGAACTAAAACTAAGCCTACGAAATGAACGTTTCTAATCTCAAATGGATTTGACCATAAACTTTCTTCAACAAGAACTCAACAAAGAAAGCAACCTTAACCATTTTCGTTTATATTTTTCATTTAGTGAATTGCTGGTTTTGTACAGAAAAATCTTCCTGTCATTAAAAAGATGAATCTATATCAGTTGAGTAGAAGGATTGGGGATTAGGGAGCAGAATAATCTTCCTAAAACAATGCTTCCTATCTAACTGTGTACAGAATAATCTTCCTATCATTAAAAAGAGAAATCTATACCTATTCTGCAGCGTTAGCACACCAAGTCCAGACCTCTTTCACTCTACGCAGACAATTAGAGATTCACAAGTCCAAGTGTCAATACTCAGGAGAAAGTCTTCCATCTTGCAGGGAGATCACTGTTTCAAATGCACCAACCAAGGCCTTAACCTTGCTCTTTCGAGTTTCGACCAGTTTACTTGCGGTTTCTTCAATGACATTGTTAAACAGTCCCTGTGCGTCTTTTCTCCTCTGCTGCACATCTTGGTGCCTCAGAACAACTATTTCTTGAGCCGTTGCTGTATCGCCGTCGACTTCTGTTCCCATCTTGAAGTTCTTCCTTAGGCCATCTGCATCCCTTTGGCTCTCCCCCAACAGCCTTCCACGCCTAAATTTAAGCCTCCTCGGACTATTACTCTTGGCAGGGATGTCAATGATTTTCCCTCTCCTGAAACTTAGTTTTGTAGATTGGGGATCCTCTTCTTTATTATGCAATATCCGAGGATTTTGGTATCTTGCATTTTGACCACCTTCTTCACTTGAAGCATTATCTGTTTCCATGCTGCCATATTCATTGCTTTCAGAGAAAGAGTCATTCTCTGTTTCACTCTCCGTGTATTCAGATACATCTTGATCTTTTACGTTAGCCAAAATATACTGAGCTGATGGCGGTGATAGCGAATTAAGCCGGGACGATGGCAATGGTTCCATGTTATCAAAAGTTTCATTTTGACCATCAGATTGATGAGGCATCTCCTCATTTTCTACCTTGATGACATACAAGGTCTTCTCTTGGACCTCTACACTCTGGAAGGTTTCTCCTTGGACCTCTTCACTCTGGAACGTTTCTCCTCGAACCTCTTCACTTCGGAAGGTTTTCTTGTTGACCTCTTCACTCTGGACTCGTTCATGGTCAGATAGTTTGTTCTTGTTATGAGTTTTATGCAGACCGCCTTTCAAGCTAACATGCTTTCTTGCAGTTAAGTTTGCATTTCCATAGATAGAATTTGAGGAAAATGAACCTGTTGAGGTTGCCACCACTTTCTTTGCAGCTACTTTGGAGGTCCCAAAATTTTTTACCATTTTCGAACCATTTGTTCTTCGCGAACCGTCTGTAGACACTGCAGATCTCAATGGGTTTACTTTAATAGACTTCAATTTCACAAAATTTTCAGACTTTTCAGGTAACTTTCTCTCCTTGGTTTTTGCAAGAACTGCAGAGTCTTCTGGATTTCTAGTAGCTGTAGACGTTTCAGGCTTCGAGTTTTTCAGCATGTTTGCAGTATGTGATCTCGACTTGGCTAAGGCTTTCGGCTCAGCCAACAATTTGTTCTTTCTTTCATTCAGGACTTCTCTCAGCTTTGGACTTGACAACAGTTTTTTCTTCCTTCCATTTGAGACTTCTCTCTGCACTGGACTAGGCTTTGTCAAGGTGGTCACATTAGCTCCAGACATTCTGGAAGTTGATGAAAGTTCAGCCTTCGTCCGAGTTGAAGCTGTTTTCTTTCTCTCAGGAAGTATCGTTCTATTGACCGAACTTCCACTATCAAGTGATATCCTTCCCACATTTTTCGACATTCGAGTTGAAATTGTTTTCTTTCTCTCAAGAAGTACCACACCATCTATCGAACTTCTTGCCACATTTTTTGACATTCGAGGTGAAGCTGTTTTCTTTCTCTCAAGAAGTACCACACCATCTACCGAACTTCCACCATCGAGTGATATTCTTGCCACATTTTTCGACATTCGAGTTGAAGTTGTTTTCTTTCTCTCAGGGAGTACCATACTGTCAACCGAACTTCCACTATCCAGTGATTTTCTTGTCATATGCTTCGACCTTTCAGTCATAATCGTTTTCTTTCTCTCAGGAATGACCACACTATCTACCGAACCTCCACCTGTTTTCTTTCTCTCACGAAGTACCACATCATCAACCGAACGTCCACCGTCCAGTGATTTTCTTGTCATAGCCACTGGTTGTCTTGACTTGGTTTCAAAAGTATGGTTTTTCCCATATTTGCAGATATCATGACAGGAACCAGTAGATATTCTTCGATAATGAGGCACAAATTTTTCTCCACTATTTGAAGAACTTATCCATCCTGTAGAGCTTCTTCTCGAACTAGTACCCGCAGTCGTAGTCATTTGCACGTCACCCTGCTGATCAGCCATCAGAATTTGACACAACACCTGAACAAAAACAAGCACGCCAATGAAATAAGAGAAACCAACCAAGATCTTACGAATAAACTGCAATGGTTCAAAACAATTCCCACAAAAATCTCAGTCTGAAGAAAGAAATAAAGAAACTAGTCAGTGATTTAGAAACTATGAGATGAAGAGGACTAGCAGTAGATCCCAACACACAGACATAGTATCATATGATCAAGAAAAATTATATCAGTACATATAAAAAGTGAGAAGAGGGGGCGAAAAACGCTATACGAAGCACCGACTAGCGAGTACGATCATCCAAAAGAATGCACCTTAACTCAAGGGCAGAATTTGAGAGGCAATAGAACTTCAAGACACATCCATAGCCTTCTCTCATTTAAGATTTTTATTCTCATGCGTTTCTTCCAAGACAAAAGTTAGAAAACAAAATGGAAACGTTAGATTAATCAAACATTCTTATCATCCTTTATGACATTAAAAACATATATGGAAAGAAAACAAAACAAGATCAAAATGCAATAATTTACATCCAAGGGAAAAATGAATCCACATAAACATAGATGAAAATGAACTTTCTAAACAAAAAATCAGTTGGTTCACCATCTGCTGGTTCAATAGAGCATGAAACACAATTATTAGAACACATAAATACAAAAGTCCGTGTGGAATCATAAGCAAGAAGACAAAGGTTGTCCCTGCAATCCTGCCAAGAGAGTGAGCAGGGAATGCTGGAAGCTGACAAACTCGCACGCAGGCCAAAACATCTAACAAAGAAAGGAGAAGAACAAAGAAAGGAGACCAAGAAAAGCTAACAAAATAAGAAAACAGAGCACAACCAGTCCAATGACATCCCATTTACTTAATCGATCATAGCAGAAATCAACATTGTAAAACATGAAGAACACAAGAGATAGCAATTAAACAGGCCCCTAGAGGAGCATAAACAACGAGGATTTACAAACCAAACAGGAAAAGAAGAACGAAGAACAGAACCCCATTTCAGAGATGAAGCGAAAAGATTCCTTATAGCCTTACCGAATAAAAAAACAACGATGTGGGTTTTGGTTGTTGGGCAAGAAAATGTTCAGCCCCCTGTGTTGCAATCACCAGAAATCAAGGAAAAAGGAAAGAGCAAGGAAAAATGAATGAACCCAGTAGGGCGGTGAAGGCGGAAGGAAATAGGGAGAGAAAAAAAGGGTCCAGTGTTTTAGAGACGATCGTATGTTTTGTATAGCATTATATGTTTATGAGCACCAAAAATGTCGGTTTCGATTCCCTTTAGCGGTCGTGCAAGCAACTGTTATATATCTCTTCCCCGTTCGGTTGCGTTTTCTTTTTCCTCTCCGCGTTGGTTACAGAGATTCTTAACACCAAAATAAGAGAAACAACGCTGGTCCTACAAAGCGAGCGGTTGCAGTGGGGAGAAAAAAAGGAACTTTCTCTCAATAACAATATGCAATTGATTGGATATTTTTGCATCGAAACCCACAACTTTCGTGGAAAATAATGAAAGCTAACACACGCATTACGAAGAGAATGGTATTTAATAAAAAGGGTTTTGTTGACAATTTGATTTCCATAAATGGGATTTACTCCCTTTTTCATACAAACCTTAAACACATTCATTTTTGTAGCCTAAGAGAATGCTTTATAAGAGAAGGATTTCAAATCATGATACTCATATGCATTTTCCCGCCGGACAGCGAGCGATCATTCAACAATTCATACTAGGAGAAAATGGTCTGAATGTGTGTCTATTTCTGACGGAAATCGAACCCGTGTCTTCAACATAAACTACTGGACAAAAGAGACCAAAAAGTCATTCTTTATATACCTAAGCTCTGACCCGTTACTTTCAACATCCAAGTAAATAATAATAATAAAGTAAAATGTTTTAAATTTTAGTAGAGATCTAATAATAATGGGGAAGGGGAGACAAACTTAGGTGTCCCATAGCTTTATGATTATGAAAAGATATATATGGGACAGATGGGTCTCATATTAAGATGTCACATATTTGGAACATGAAATTGGTTGAGTGGGATTTTTCCCAATTCCATTGTTGGGTCTGTTTCCCACCCTCCACAAGGTGAGGATTTTTTTTTTTTTTTTAATAATTTATTTAGCATTGTTTTAATTGGGAATTATTGAAAACAAAGTGATTTGAATTAAAAATTGAAAATTTTGATTACTTGAATTGTTTTGTAGACTTATTTGAATGTTGTGTTTAAAAAAGAAGCGTTGAAACCTACCATTGTATTGGTAAAAAGTTATGGGGACATAAAAGTTATGGGCAAAAGTGGCACAAAAGATGGAAGAAAAAAGACAAATGGATATCAATTGGAATGCACCTTGGATACCCTCTACTCCCACCATGTCTTCCAATTTAATGTCTAATTTTAACTACAACCCACCCATCCATTATGTTGATATCTACTTATTCTCGTAACGTTAGGGTCACATCGCTTGGAGTGAAAAGGATAACGAGGGTTTGAAAACCTCCTCCTAGAAGACGTATTTTAAAATTACGAGGTCAAGGGCCAAAGCAGACAATATCTACTAATGATAGCCTTGAGTAGTTACAGTGGTATTAGAACCTAACACTGGGCGATGTGTCAGTGAGAAGGTTGTCCTCCAAAGAAGGTAGATTGAGAGATCTTACATTAGTTGGAGCAGAGAATAAAGTAAGGTGTGGTAACCTCTCTCTAGCAAATGTATTTTAAAATCGTAAAGTCAAGGGAAAAGGTGGATAAAATCTGCTAATGACGACCCTTAGCAGTTACAGTGGTTTCACAACTAGGCATTTGGCGGTGTCAGCGAGAACACCGTCTCTCAAAGGTCAAGCACAAGACAGTGTGCCAATAAAGATGTTGGGGTGAATTGAAAGATCTCATATCAGTTGAAGAGGAGAACAAAACTGTCAAAAAATTTCTTATAAGAGCGTGAAAACCTCTTCCTAACAGATGTGTTATAAAACCATTAACTCGATATTTAGTTAGGGAAGACTTTGTAATGGGATTGGATTGGTCAATTAGCATAAAGAATGAAACAATATTGACTCATTCAATTTTCTTCTATCTATAAATTTTATTTACATTGATGGTAAAAATAATGTCATTAATTAATAACATAACCTACATTGATTGTGACATAATCTTCTATGGTTGGTAGGTTGACCATCTATTTTCTCTGCTTGCTTGCTTGAAACGATCCCCCTATTTAGACTTTGGCCTTAAGGAAAGCTTCTAAATTACTAATAAAAACATTCGTTTGATTTTTTCTTTAAATAATCTTTTAAATCAACGTCACGATTCTTCGGAGTGATTCATTTTACCTGGAAAAAAGTAATATAAAGCAAACAATTTGCCAACTTTCTAAGTGAAGTAGGAATATCAAAACATAGCTCAACTGGGTTAAGACATGTCCCTTCGACGACTTAACAGACAAGTTAGAAGTTCAAACTTGTAAGCATAGCAATATCATTTTGAGCAAACGATTCAAACTTTCTTATGTTCTTCTAGTTCGTTCCCAAAAGCATAAACTGAGCAAAACATGCAACTATGAATTATGAATTATGCAGCATATCTTTTCTTCTGCATTTACTTTCAGGAGATGTCATAATCAGATATCAGATTACCTTCTATATTCAAGTGTCAAAGATAAGGACATGATTGGTGAATCTACATTACTGAAATATATGGGTGTGCTAAACTTATCTTGTATCTTTGAAGATTGTCTTTCCTCGGTTACCTTTTTCGGCCCGACACGGTCTTCTTAACAGCCCCAACTGATACTAAAAACTGGTCAAGGGATGATAAGGTCTTCATATCATCTGGTGGAAAGTAACTGGCAGCCTTCCCCATGAGTGATGTAAAGAGAAGAGACAGTGAAGGACGGTTGATGTAGCGCTCTCCCAGTAGGTCGTCGAGAAATCCGAACGCAGTTAAGAAATCGGACCTACTTGCATTTACTGGAGCTGCAAAGTGAGCAGGGATGATTCTCTTGAACTTCCAATCCCGGACGATTCTATCGATCCAGTCCCTTACCTGATAGCAGAATCAATGTGTAAGAGTAAAATGTCTAGATTTACAAAACTTCTGTCATCCTTCTGTATGCATAATCTTCAAGGAACTTGGTTAATTACCTTTTCAGGAACTTTGCTGAAGACGAGTGTCTTTACTATGGGTGAAACAATAAGTTTCTGGGACATTTTAGCAAAGCTAGCGTTGGGTTCCAAGAGATTTGAAGGCCCAAGAAACAATATCTGAAGAACCATTCTTTCCCACCCTGCATCAACAATCACCATTCATCAGTTTCTTTGAACAAACATAATAGCACTAAAATAAACTCGAGGTGTTGAAAGCATATGAACTGTGAGATCCCACATCGGCTGAGGAAAAGGACAAAATATTTTTTATAAGAGTGTAAAAATCTCTCCCTAACCGATGCATTTTAAAATCTTAAGAGAAAGCCAAGAAGAAAAAACTCAAAGAGGATAATATCTGCAAGTGATGTTTAGGGTCGTTATAAATGGTATCGGAGCCGAACATCGAGCGATGTGCCAATGAGGAGGCTGAGCCCTGAAGGGGGTGGACACGAGGCGGTGTGCCAGCAAGGACGTTGGGCATCGAAGGAGGGTGGATTGGGGGGTCTCACATCAATTGGAGAAGGGAACAAGTGTCTGCGAGGACGCTGGGTCCTGAAGAGGGATGGATTGTGAGATCCCACATCGGTTGAGGAGAAGAACGAACCATTCTTTATAAGGGTGTGGAAACCTCTCTCTCTACCAGACGCGTTTTAAAACCTTGAGGGGAAACCTAGAAGGGAAAGCCCAAAGAAGACAATATCTGCTAGCAGTGTTTAAGGTCGTTACAAATGGTATCAGAGCAAGACACCAGGCGTGTGCCAACGAGGAGGCTGAGCTTCGAAGGGGGGTGGACACGAGGCGGTGTGCCAGCAAGGACGCTCGACCCCAAAGGGGAGTGGATTGTGAGATCCCACATCGATTGGGAACGAGAACGAAGCATTATTCATAAGGGTGTAGAAACTTCTCCTTAGCAGACGTGTTTTAAAACCTTTGAGGGGAAGCCCAAAAGGAAAAGTCAAGGAAAAGCCAAAGTGGACAATATCTACTAGCCGTGGACTTAAACTGTTATATTAACGAACCTTTTTTACGATTGATCATGTTGTCAACAACAGGCTCTTCAGGGACTTCCTTTCCCTTACTAAGTAGTTTTACTGCCAAACCATTCTTTGCAGATGCCAACAAGGATTCTTTGCTAATGCATTCAGGTGGTTGTCGAGGGACAAAGATTACAGCATCTGTTACCAGTAATGTTCTCGACCGCTTATGATAAAAAGCCACTTCCACATACGGCCCAATCCCTGCAACAATCAACCAAGTTTTCACTAGCAACTAAGGAACTCAACACTTAACAAGACGAGCAATTCTTATTACCAACTTCTGGTGAGCTCAAAACCTTCTGCTCAATCTCATCAGCCCATGGAGCAGATAAATCCTCGTCTTTCAATGTTTTAGCTCCAAAAATTCCAAAAAACTCCAATGGCAAGTTCAATGGCCAACTCCATTGCCTTGGTGCCACCCATATCTGGGCTCGTGGAAACTTCCTCGAAAAGGGTCCAACAAAAATCTTATGCTCATAAGCAAACGTTGGTAAAACAATGTATTCTACAGGAGCCTCCAGCTCATTCAGAAGCTGTCAAGATAAGAAAACTTTTGAACACAAGTAATATAAATCCTAGAATTATCATTTGTTCTTCATAGATGAACTTATTCAATGAGTAGAAGTAGAAATAGAACCTGAATACACTCCTTAGTTGGAGCAATGGGAGCATGGACCCATAAACCTCCAGATTTGAGTTTAATGACAGTCATCCTAATATTTGTTGAGACACTACTGAATCCCAGCGCTTGTTCTTGCTCAAAAAGCCATATACAACCTTTTACAGCCTAAAAGAACACAACGATTTAAAAAACCCAAATCCACAAAAGCTGAAAATT